CACACACACACACACACACACACACACACACACACACACATTTTAGCATCCTAACCTATGGTAAAAATCAGACCCTTTGGCATGGATGCAACTCTCGTGAGAACCTTTGGAAGAGACCAATTTGGATGGCCTGAAAGGGGGATTGGATGAACCCATGGAGGATAAGGTGATCTGTGACCACTAATCCTGATGGCTGCCTCTAGTATCAGAGGAAGTATGCAGAGAACATACTCCAGGAAGCATCAATGAGCTGATAGGACTATGAAAATGTAATTCCAAGGCAATGCCTTGCTAGGTGATGGGGAGGGGAAAGGCCAACTTGAGCTCAACAGAAGCTCAAGGCCAACAGAAGGTGGGAATAGGCAGAAGATGGACTCACTATGCCTCAGTGTACCCCATCACGCAAGGCAAAGAAGGGTCCCTGGACCCGGTATCTGGGATTTCCCACTGCAATTCTGTGTTGGATGTTACAATGTTAAGCAGTAGCCACTGATCTGGTCAGCGCACCTAGATGTCAACCGTTGCTCTTTTTGACCACCAGACAGGGCAGCCCCTTACAAATCACCAAATGGGAAGGATGCGTCACTAAAAAAGAGGGTGAGAGGAAGCTGCATTGCAAACTTTTGCATGTGTTAGCTTGCATGTACAAACGCGAATTTACAAATCATTATTTTATTGTAAACAGAAATACAGATTTCATCATCACCATGTGGGAGGCTGCGATTGTGTACCTGCCTGTTAAGTCTGCAACCTGTCAATGGGCAGCAATTCTTTATGGTTCGGGATCTTTAAAGAAGCACTGGAGAGAACTTTCCTTCAAACAGAGGACACCCTCCAATAAAAGTCCTTCCTCTGTGAAAGAGGATACATGGCCACCCTACTGGGAGTCTCCAAGCACTCCTCAAGAATTTGCCAGAGTGTGGGGAAGGAAACCAAGGAAAGCCTGTAGCATCATTTGTAAAATTTCAAATTTCTTTTTATTGTCAAAGTAAATATATTTTATGAAGGACAAAAGAAAAAAAATACAGAATTGTAACTTATGTACACTGACTTTAAAGATATTCTTTTGTTTCCAATTTATACAATTTTTCATGTTATTAAAAGATATTTTATATAGATATGCGATATGTACAATTTTATTTACATACATTCATAGGATGTGAGATAAAAACCAGTCAATAGAAGAGAGATTCATTTACACGTATTTTCGAAGGACAAGCGGAATGCATTCCTAGAAGATGGTAGTGGAGCTTTTGCTCTTACGTGACAACAGGGTCTCCATTTTGACCTACTAATGCTAGAATTTTGCAGTGCTTTATTTACGATTTGGCTGATGACAAAAAGGGAAGGAGGAGAGGGAGGCCATAATTCTAAAGTTCTATTGAAAGCAACGGAGCTTAAGCTGGCATTAACTGATCCTGTCCCATTGCCTTCAGTGGAATTTAGTCATGGATTATGTTTACTTCATTTTGCTTACAGACACTCTCTCTGTAATCAGAGAGGTGATGCAACATCCTTTATATATATATATATTTATATATTTATAAAACTTCTCTAAGTATCAGATTCTATGTGTCTAGAAAGCATCCTACAATCAGCAGAGTACATAAAGAAAAAAAGTGGGAAAGTGTTGCTTAATGCAATAATTTTGCGGCCAGTATCAGATTATATGTCTATATTTATGTATAAGTATGCATGTATTTGGCAGGTGGGGGGTGACCCCTCATGCTAGCTACCGCTCTAGCTAGCTGGGACTCCCGATGTCCCAGTTGCAGTGCTCTCTGAATAGTGGCCCATGAGAATACTCAACATTTGGGTACTGCTTGCCACCTAAGGCTCTAAAAGTGCTTTCACAAAACATTCACTAAGTCTTAAGTCTTCCCATCCCAGCCACTGAGGACAAGGATTGTATTTCGTACCACGGGGTAGTGGGGGAATGAGTCCAGCATTTCTTGCTCTGCCATCACAGTTACTGCTGCGGCCATGAGGAACCACCTAAAGGTAATGCTGAAGGTTTCTGGCCAAGGTATGCAGACTCCTGCAAGATCGCCATTTGACGAAGGCCATCCACACAGTGAAACAGGGCGGAACAGCAAGCAGTGGGAGCAAGGCTCTCACCGGCCAGTTCTCCCACATCCTGACTGTGGGACTGTGCATCATGGCCCTGTTGAAAGACCTCGAGACAAATATTCAGTCTGCTATACAGCACATTAATTAATCTATATTTGGATTCCTGGGAAAGATGGTATTTAGTGCTCCTACCCAACAGCAACCTAGCAGGCAGAGCAGGAGAGAAGCGCGAAGATTGTCTGAGCCCTTTCCAGCTGTGCAGTTTGCCAACAATCAACAGGTATGGCATGGAAGATGGTATGCCACCAAAACCCACTGACAAAGAAAAGGACGTAAGGTGGTGCGGGTTTGCATTAAATGTGCATAGGCTAATTTGCAAAAACAGGTGCAAATTTAGACATGATTATTATAATGAAAACCGCAGTGCAATACATCTCACCAGAGCAGGGTAGACTGTGGGCAACGCACCTGCTCAGTCCCCCACCCAGCTGCTAAGGGACGAGGCAAAATGTCTGCTCCCCCTTCTTGGTGGGGGGGGGATCATTTTTAAGGCAGGCTTGGACTGGACAACCGTTTCAACAGAGGATAGAGAATGTTTTGCAAGAGAGGACTGTCCTGTCAAGGGGCACCAATGGCCACCTTAGCAGTGGGCATTTTGGCAACAGGTTTCTCCCATAGTCTAAGAGGTCTGAACACACAGTATTGGTGGAAGCAAAACCTGTTGCTGAGATGCATCTCACTTGATGCACATTCTTTAACCCTGGACTGAATGACTGAAAAGGGCTGGCATATGTTAGAAATCAAGACTTCCCTAAGGTTAGTCATCATGACAATCTCAAGTTAGCCATGGCTAGTATAAGTCCCATTAATTTCCAACATTTAGCTCTGGATCCAACCCTTCATCCATATTTTCATCTCTCTGTCCCTCAGATACTCAGGTTGCCAGCTGTTGATTTCAAAAATACTGGCTGCTACGTGGGGCTAAGGGGGTGGACCATGGCAGAGAGAAGAGAAGAGCAGGAACTGGTGTCAACCCTGCACCAAACCTGGAAGAATCTGGGATTCAATTTCAGGCCTCTATTTTGGTTATGAACAAAATACGGTTTTACTTAGATGAGTAAGACTCACTGTTTAGCAAACCCTGTTCCATCCCTCCCTTGCAAGATGGCAGACCTACTCTTCCTCTTCCTCTTTTGATAGCTGCTACAAGATCGTAGCTAATGAACCGCCAACACCAGCTCAAAAACAACAACAACAATAGAACCCCTCACAAAAAACAAAGGACTTGTTCTCATTTCAAAAGGGAATTTGCTGTTTCCAAACTGGCCAAATAGGCCAGCTTATAATAACAATAATTAATAATAATAGTGAAAAGAAAACTCACATTGAATAGCCCTGTACATGAGCAAAGCCCTCAGGAATGCCAGAACTATAATTAACTAGCAGCAAGTAGCCCATAAATTATCATGGCGCAGGAGAAAACAGCTAAAAATAAAACACTGTAATTTTCAAAAGAAGCAGCAACAGCAAAGAAAAGGAAAGGAACAAAGTAAGGCGAAGGTGATGAAAAAGAAGATGCTTGTGTGAAGTCACGGCCTCAGCTGTTATATGGAGATAAATAAATTATTGTGAGACAGAGACTGCAGAAAGTGCTGCTGGGGACAGTTCTTGGATGGGCAGGCGGAAGGGAGCCGGCGGGACAACATCAGTTCGCTGAGCGCACAGAGCGGCTGCTTCTTGGAAACCGGTGGACTTTGACGTGCTTGGACAAGTGGTCACTCCGAGCAAACTTTTTCTCGCACACAGGGCACTGATACGGCTTCACCCCGGAGTGGGAGCGCCTGTGCCGAGAAAGTTCATCTGACCGCGAAAACCTGGAAGGGAAGAAGAAAAGGTAATCGGTCAGTCAACTTGCCTTTGGCTCAGAGAATGTCCTCAATACACCCCGAAGCACTGGCCAGAGACTCAACATCATGACATGCGGCCTTCCAGATATGGCCGGACCACAGCTGCCATGAGTTGCCGCCAGCATTGCCAATACGGAAGGCCATCCGTTCCAGCCATACCTGAAGGCCCACATTTCTCCCACTGAAGCTGCAGCGCTTCAAAGGAGCCGTTTGTTTTATAAGTAACCTTTTCATGCACATTGCCCACTAATCCTTGTAATAGTCCTGTCACTGTTGCATCAGCATTATTTTTCATGCACCGTGGGTGGGGGTGGGGTGGCTATGAAACTGGCTGGCCTGAGGCCTTCTAGGATGAACCTGCACCTATCCCCGTAAAACAGCAGAGTGTACTTCAGCAGTAGATTTCTTCTCCTTTGCACTGCCTGCACTGCCAGTGTCATGGGGAGCAAACTAATTCCCTTCGCTTGAAGGCATCAGTACCAGGTGAGAGGAAGCACCCTGTTGCTGAAGTTACACCGGAAGGAAGCCACCACCCTTCTGGACTGCAGGTGCAAACCTGTGCAAGCTCAGTGGGTATACAGCAGAGGTGAGATATTTTAGGTTATTTCAGGGAATTTACAACTTTTCATTAAAAAGCAAAAATAAATCCCAGGGCAGCTTGCAAGTTCCAATCATATAAAATTCTGAAGAGCAATCATTAAAACAATAACAACACTAACATCTCACTCAAACGACCAGGGGTAGCTGCCAATGCTACTAGTCAGGGAACCACACAGGCAAACAAAGGTTCTTCAGCTGCTGGTGGGTGCACTGGACTTTGGAAGCCCACCTGATCTCAGTAAGGAGGTGATTCTGCACAGAGAGCAGCACACTAGAGAAGGCTTCTGCTGCACCACAGTGAAATGCATCTCAAGAAGGAGCTGTACAGTCAGCAAGCCTCCCCCCTTAGAACAAGATACAGGGGCTGCCTATATGGAAGAAGGAAGTCTGTTGCAGATGAGCAAGGAGGACCACCCATAGCCACTACATGATACCAATTCTTCTCAAAATACCTGAGTACCAAAATACAAATACGCATCTATGCGTAGCTCCATTGTATGTTTTAATATTGACATTTTAATTTGATTTTTGCATTCTTTCCACAAAACCAAATATCAGCCCAAAAAAGGTTCACTAAGAATACAAAATAAGTATAGAACAACAAACATATAGAAACATAGAAATATATACAGGAAAAGTGGAAAAACCAAACCAAACCAAAAGCACCACAACAACAAACATATAGCCACACAGTAAAAATCAGAGATACACTGAACTGCAAAATGCACACAAGCAATGACTGAGTTTGCATGTATGTAAAAATGGCTAAACTGTACATGTTTAGTGGCTGATAAGAATTTCCCCCATGACGTCACATGTCCTTTAAGCACATTATAATTGCTAAATGCCCCTGTTCTTTAAAAAAAATGGCCCTGTATTTAAGGGTTGTCCATTATTTTCTACTACTACAGCTCCATGATATCCAAAATGTCTGGAATTTTACTACATCCATACTGGCTTTTTTATGAGGGTATGGTGTTAACATCAATCAATGTCTTACCTGATTGACTCAAACCCCTTCCATCCACCCTTTAAAAACTATACATCCACAGTGGGGAATTTTTCCCAATACACACAATGAGTTCAACTCAGTGCCCTTGCATGTATAGGGACCTAATATACAGACCTGCTATTTCTTCTAATACTAGGCAACATCTAAAAAGTGGAACTTTTGTGCCATTTGAACTTGTGTCCATAGGGGTCAACAAACTTAATCCATGTATCCATTACAAACAGTGCTGTCCATTCTTCTAGCTGATAATTTGAATCTGCAGAATACTGGTACAGAAAGGGAAGTAGCCAAGGTTGGTTCTGTGTCGAGCAGATCCACTGAAATGAATGGCACTTAAGGCAGTCATGCCTAAAGTCCCATTCACTTTAATAGACTGGATGCCACTCAAAGACAGCTAACAAGAAAGCCACTTTTATAGACTTTCCTTCCTCCTCCCCCTTTCCCATTTTTAGTCTGCTGGGCACAATACAACAACTTTTAATGACTTTCTGTGGGAGTTGACCTTACATGGTTTCCAAATCGAGCTAATTTCACATTGCCATACCAAGACCTTCCGCAGAACTGTGGTAACTTCCAAAAGGCTTGGTATGCTGTTGTCTTTGAACTACCAGCTCTGCAGAGACAGCTGCCTGCCACCAATGATATGTAAATCAGTCACGGTACAGCTGCTGATCGTGATTTTTAAAACAAGGAGGTTCACGGCATCACATTGGCAAGTCCTCCTCGCACACAGGAATTCATTGACAACACCATGATCACAATGGAGCTCCACCAGGTTGATGCTAATGTGGCACTCCTCAGCTTGCCAAATTGATCTCTGAAGTTCTTTTCCCTGAAACAGCTTCTCCATGCTCAGGATCGGAGAAATAAAGACACCATGCATGCGCATGCGTCATTTGACTATCGAGATACATCCATGAAGTATTGGCTCCTGGTTCCAGAGGGCTCTTGAGCTTCCATGAGCTCCTTGGCCTTGCTGGCATTAGCATCAGCGCCTCTTGCTCCTCATTTTCTTTCCCAGGACTGCTTCTGCTCACTCGCTTGATAGGAGGAGTGTCCAGAAACAGGCGGGCCACGGCATCTCCTCCCCCCGTCCTCACCACCACCACTGCCTGGGCTGGAGTGAGAGTCTGGCGAACAAGCAGGATGAAGAGGAGGAGAGCCATGCTGGTACCTGCTGATCAGCAAGGCCTTGCTGTGCTTGAGCGTGCCAAGCACGGACACCAGCTATGATAGAGAGCTGAAAGGCAGAGCTACTTCCTGGCTCTGATCAAGAGGAAACTAGAGCTGAGCTGAAATTTCTCAAAAGGCATTTTTCTGATAAAATTTCTGAGGTTGTTCATTTTCTTACCCCCACACTGCAGGAAAAGGTGACTTCTTTGCCAAATGTTCTTCAGATGTCCTCCACCCCCCCGCCCAGGGACACATGGCGGTGGCTGCCACTGCCACCACCGCCACCAGCACAGCAGTTAGCAAAGTTTGTTGCCACAGCTGCAGCAACAACAACAACAACTACCACAACAACTACCCACAGGGACCCTCCACCATGCTACTGCCTTTACTAGTTAGGAGCTCCATGTAGAGCAATTGCTACATGTCCCATTCTAAAAATTCACTGAAATGGAACAGACCCACCCCAATTTTTCTTTCCTCAAATAGGAAGGAGGATTTGCAAAAGCCACTGGCAACAGCTGTAGATCAAACTCCTCTGGAAAATCCAAGGGTTCGTGATACACAAATGAAAACACTGCCCCTTTGAATGGTGGTGTCACAAAGCAGTTGTCAGCCAGAACAGTAACAAAGCTTGGCACAAAAAGGAAGCCCTGGGAAACGGCATCAGCTGTTTGTTTACAGTAAATAAATGAGGTCACGGTCATTTACTAACTGAAAATTAAAGAAGGGGAATCTCTAATTTGTGCTTCCACAGAAAGATGGGAGGCCACAGGACTTAGGCAAATCCATTTCTTTTTCTCAAAAGGCAGAGAATATTCATTTTCTTCAAACAAAACAAGGGTCTTCCCATTACAGATCAACCTCCACCAGAAATTTAAGGGCCAGAATGCAAGTATTGCCAAGAATTCTTTCATGCTTGAATTCATTTCTGTTTCATTTTTAACTCTACTCTTCATCAGGAAAGGTTGAAGTTTCCACTTTCTGAGTCTGATACAATTCCAAGAATTTGTTCCACCAAAGCAGAGACTTAATTGTCTATGTGAATTCTTAGATTTATTTAGCATACCTGGATAAAGCAAGAAATGCTGAGTCTGACAGAATTTGTCATTACCATAAGCAAAGTCAGGTAGGGTAGAAGTCCACACACATCCAAAAGAAGTGCTATCTGAGCCACAGAAAGCAACATGAGTTAATATGATAAAAATACACTTTGCATCATAACTCTCTGTTGATCAGGTAACAATGTTGCTATGTTAATGCCCTGCTTACTTATAGAGATCAGCTTACTCTGCCCACAGAAATAAACTCAGCGCTTGTTATGTGTTTATGAAACAAAACCCCATCAACCTAAAGGTTAGAAGAGAAGAAACAGGCAAAATCCTGCGAGTGGGCGTGCAAGCCTCCTTCACCATAGCAAAGCTTGCCTTTATGCCATGCAGTGGTACTGTACTTGGAACAACGCCACAGATCCATACACAGGCGACTCTATGGTTCCTGGGAAACGGGCAGGCCTATTAACCTAAGCAACATCTTGAAACCACTTTAGCAAGCTAGCTGGCTTTCACCAGGAGAACAGCAGAGTCCGGAAACGGAGAAAAGGGTGGGCAGGTGCCTCTAGTTTAGAGAGGACAGTTCGCTATTGGAAGGGCCTTTGGTTAAGTGGAAAAAATGAAGCAAAAAATGAAAGGAGGAAGAGCGAGGTCTCCAAAGGCTGCCTGCGAACAGCACCTGGTCAGCAGACCAATCAGGAACAAAGTTCAGTGGGTCATAGGCTTATGGTGAGATGCACTACTTTGCTACTGCAGTTCTAGTAATGCTTTCTAAATCTGCAGCTATCACACGGAGCTGGTCGACAAACCTGCGCCCACTTTGGTCCACTTTTTTGGTGATGCATTTCTCCTGTACTATTCAATTGCACCATGTCTTCCTGAGCTTTACAGAGGTCTTTAAAGGCCAATAATTAAGACCAATAACAAACGCCACACGTATTCTCCTGGATTTGCAGATGCAATAAAATCACCAGAAACATGGGTTGTTTTTTGTTTGTTTCAATTCTGGTATCTAAAATCCAACTTTTCAGTGGAATTGGGCAAAAACAACACACAAATATGGAAAAGCATCTTGTATATTTTGACTTACTGGGACTGTTATATAAAATTTCAGGTATCATATCCTAAAATAA